GCAGACACACAAAATATCTGAGTGGGAGAAAGATGACAGGTATCTGGAATAAAGAGGAAGGTTGCAGACCACAAGGAAGAAGAGCTTTTTTTTCCCCCTCCCTTAAGATGGATATGTTGCAAAAGAGAGGGAAGCCACCAGCACAAAGTGGTGAACCATGGAAAGAGAGGTCTTTACCAAAACCATTTCGTTTTGGTCTCATGGGCATACTCCTGAAATTGATATTCACAAACATCTACTCACAGATGCAACTGTTCAGAAAGTTCTCCCGGAACAGATAGTGCCTACAGTACCCTCCAATCAACACAGCCTAGACATGAAGTACCTGATCAGGACTCTCTACTGCTACCTGGTGGCAGCATACACATATTTGAAAAGCTAAGTACGAACACTTGAGGGGCGCTAACACAAAATACTGTGACCCAGTAGCGCTGTGATGAAGGTCATCCATGAGAAAAAGGTCATTCGGGAAAACAAAAATACATAAATCCACTGGGAAGGAAAAAAAAAGAAAAAAAGTGTCATTTTCAAGAATGGTCCAATCATGAAAATATAGCTTCTGAAAAAGGAGAAAGACATTTTTTTTTTTTTTTTTTTTTTTTTTTTTGTCTCACTGGTGCAGTGGATTGCTAGGCTTTACAATCCGAACAAGAGCCACAGAACAATCTGACATCCCACCGAGGACTTCAGAGGTTACTCGTGATGTCAGAATATAATGGTTTCTAACAGTCTGTTTATTATAAGTCCAAGAAGTAAGGTCTAATCTGTGCCCGTATGAAAGAGTGTGCCTCAGTATCCCCGGGCGCACCCATGACTGTGCTCTGTTGGCACTGAGCGGGCAGAGCCGGTCTCCTCTCTACAGCCTGGGTTGAAGTCAGATGTTCCATTTTTAGACCAGCTGCTCTCGGTTGATGGGAACGGGAAGAGATACAGCAAAACACATCGCCGCCCATCGCTGGCGACCTCATGCGCACTTTCAACTTCCCCAACTGCAGCCACACCCGATGGTATGATGAGCCGCGAAGATGTGAGCGGAACCAGAGCTCCCCCCCTTAGCGACAACACAGGCTGGGTAAAAGGACGGTGTTCCCAGGAAAAAAAAAAAGAAGAAGAAGAAGAAAGAAAAAAGGGGGAAAAAAAGAATAGAAAAAGTAACCGGTGGAAAAGTATATTTCCTAGAAACCCACATTATTTGGACAAGCTTATAAGTCAGGGAAAAAACAACACCAGAGTCATACTGCTTCCTCACGGTGTCTGATTTTGCCAAATTCTCTCCCACCGAGCGCACACCACATTTATGAAAGAAAATGGCCACAGGCACGAAAATCAGGCTGCAGTTATGTGTGACTCAGACAGTTGTATGCGACACCTTCTTTGATGGATACATATACATATATACATATATATATGTATATTTAAAAGCCTTTCCGTCAAGAGAGATCAAAAGCTTTCCAGGAGTTGAAGTTAAAGCCCAGAATTGTTTATTAAATCTGAGAAAACCAGAACCCAGAGAGGAACACAGAAAATAGTACTAATTCAGACTGGGGCAACATGTCACTGAAATATATTCTATTAGGGGGTGAACACAGAATTTGGGCCAGAAGGTGTAAAAGAACTTTTAATTATGCAAGTGATATATGACTGTGTTCTTCTCGTTAAGAATTGTTTTAGGGGCGCCTGGGTGGCTCAGTCGGTGGAGCATCCGACTTCGG